GATGAATTCCATTCTCGTCTAAGATTCAAACACAGGGGATTGGTTGCATGTGCTGGTTCTGGCTCACCAAACTCAAATGGAAGCCAATTCTTCGTGACATTGGATCGTTGTGATTGGCTTGACAAGAAGCATACAATTTTTGGAAAAGTAATTACATTCATATTTATCAGGAACAAGACTTTGTTGGCTGTTTCTAAAGAATTCTTTAATTGCAATGTTGGAGTTGACGTCACAAAATTTTTGTTTATAGGTAACTGGAGATTCAATATATAATCTCTTAAGGCTAGGTGAGGTAGAGACCGATAAGGATGACCGGCCATTGGATCCGCCAAAAATATTATCAGTTGAGGTACTAAAGTTTCTGCTTGTGTCGGAATTTTTATACTTCAGTGTTTGTTTTCGTGAATATCTAGTCGCACTTCTCAATGTGAGAGAGTATATAAAGTAAAACACTCTGTTAATTTGCATAGGCACAGCCCAGGTACAATGGAATTTTGTTCCATTTCAATGGAATCAACTGAAATTATCCTTTTTTTGATATATTTGAAGTTAAATGTACTCACCATAGTATTAATAGGCTGTTCCCATTTGTGTGTGTGTGTGTGTGTTGGGGGGGCGGGGGGGGTTAGTGATTGGTTGTCACGTGTAGACAACGCATTGTGTTCTTTCTGTGAGTCTGACAATATGAATGTCTGAATTTTGGTATTGTTGCAGTACTTTTTTGTTATGGCCTTGTATTTCTTATTGTTGCCTGGCCATTTTCATTTGGTCTTGTATCTCTTATTATGATAGAATAATACCTTGAGATTGCTGCCAAATTTTCTTCTTGGAACAATTTCCTAGGTATTATGGAATCCATTTGATGATATTGTACCAAGAGTAGCACGTGCAAAGTCCTTGCCTTCAACGGCAGATGGTGGAAAGAGAGATACAAAGCAGAAAGCAACTAAGTGAGTTCCTTCTCCCAACTCAGCACTAGACACAGTTGCTTGAACATTGAAACTTAATTTTTGTTGTAAAATTTAAATCCTGTATGTTCTTTTTTGGGTTTGTTGTGCAGAAAATTGAACTTGCTGTCATTTGGAGAAGAAGCTGAAGAAGAGGAGAAGGAACTGGCAGTTGTCAATACAAAGATTAAGAGCAGTCATGACGTGTTGGACGATCCCCGCCTCCTAAAGGATGAAAATCAGGATAATAATTTGGTAACAATCCAATTTGTTAGTTTTGGTTTACTGTGATATACTATTTCTGTAACATCATTACCTGAACAATATGATCATATCATAGTGTAAAAGGACATAATGATAGAAGGAGATCCTAAGTTAAGACGGACCCATCTAAGTAATAAAGTTCATTAGGATCAAATTTTAATTGGAAAAGCATGTAATTCTTCACTCTTCATCTTTAAAAACTGTGTTCTTTTTTCTTTCCTTGGCTATTGCATCTCCATCTTTTAAAAACAAGTGCCACAAGATATATAACATTTCTATTCTATCAACCCATGAATGAACTAAATTTTAGTGAAAAAAAATATTCAGTTTGTTGAAGAGAGAATTTTAGGTGGTCATATAGTTATGAAAATGAATATCAGACAAAGCAGAACAATTTTTTTTTTTTTTGTGCATCCTAATCTTGTATGCACAAGTGAGAATTATGTCATGATTCAATCAGTGGTATCATTAACTAAAATTGTCTGTCTAATTTTTGAATTCGTTAAGTATGTGGAAAAATTGAAGGCGAATGAATGCACACTCCAATTTACTTCATGAATAGATTCTTGCTTATGGTCATATTTTTAGGCTACGTTCTTGAAATGATAAGGATATGTGTAGGTCAAAAAAAAGTTCCAAATTGCTTTTCCATAGGTCGAAAGCAAGGCCTACTGTGAGAACTGAAAGCAAGTCCGCTATAATTGTAAGTGGGAAACCTAGAACAGCAACAACAATAGCAATAATAACATGCTCCCATTCTCCAAGGTTGTATTCCGGCCTGGGTTTCAAATAAAGAAATTAACATCCCTGAATGCTTCCTGTAAGCACGGGAAGTGAGACAGGACAGTAGTTAAAAAAATCTCTTTGGATGAATTTCACTGAGAAAGCAATATAACCTATATTGCAATAGATCAACAAAGAAAGTGGAAGGACTTGGAGAAAACTCAAGATGACATTGCTCATGCTAGGATAATTTGGCTGCCAGAAAACTGTTAATGTACTTGGCAATCCAATTTAAGCTAAATGTCCATAACAAAGAACACAGATAATTTCGGAACATGACAAAGTCTAGCGGGAATATTGGCTAATTAAAATAAAGCAAAAAGAGGTGTTATATACTGTCCGGGATGCATGTACTTCTAG